TGTGTGGGGAAAAACGAATGATAGCAGGGAAAAAAATGAACTCTCAATGACAGAAAGAAGAAGAAGGAGAAGGAGAAGAAGAAGAAGACGAAGACAACGACGACAAAGAAGAAGAAGAAGAAGAAGAAGAAGAAGAAGAAGAAGAAGAAGAAGAAGAAGAAAAAGAAGAATCAAGTGTCTCCTCTCTGAAGGCTTGTTGAGCCTTATCCTCAAGTGTGGGCCTTCATTGTGATTTTTCAGTCCTTGTGTTGGTCCCCATGGGCTGGTGCAGGATCATGAACCTGGAAGCTGCGATTGAGGAGAGAGACCATGTACTATCAGCTCGAGCACGAAAAATAAGAACCTTGAGGTCGCGTCTTGCCTCCGCCAGCAGGGTCTGTACTTTCATCCATCAGGGCCCTCCCATAAATCTTCATTTTGTGCCACTCATCTTATTGGCATAGTTGCAAAGCTTATATGCGGTGCTCAGCGTGGTGGAGACACCGGCTGTGTGCATGCACACTGTGCACGTGCGGTTTGTTGCTCTTCCCTTCTATGTGGTGCTTGTTGGTGTGCGAACCTGTGCGGTTGTACGTGCGTTGTGTGTGACTGGTGTTAACACAGTCATTTTTTTTTTGGGGGGGGGGATAGAGTGGTGGTGGTGGTGGTGAGGTAACACACCTTGTAGCTGCCGACGAGCACAAGAACTTCAGCCAAATGACACTGGAGACACACTCAGGAGAAGAAAACACTCTGCTGCAGAGATAAATGCTTAAAACTTCAAACGTCAAAGCCTCAATCATGCAATGTCTGAAAAACACTCTAAACTTCTGAAACGGTTCAAACTTCAAACTTGGGAACACAAAACTTCAACGAAAGATATGGCAGGAAAGAAGGGGTGTTGTTGCCCTCAACTCCTTGTTGTTGTCATCCCCCCTCTCCTCATCGCCCATTTCACCACAATCTCCATTGTCACCATCACCATTAGCTTTATGATTGTCATCACTGGACTAAGTTATAGATGTCCCCTCATCTTGGGGATGAGCCACTATCACCATCCATGATTTGTTGGCTCGACTGTATTGCACCTCCTCGCCTCATGGATGTCCCCTCATGTGTGCTAGTTGTTATCTTGCCCTTACTCTGATGGCTGCGGCTTTCTTTGAAGTCTTCTTTGCTGCTTTCTTCGTGGCGGTCTTCGCTTTCCTTGGATGCTCTCTTACCCCTTCTGTCTCCGGTGGCCCAATGTCTGCCTCTGCAGCACGGTTGCCGGCTGCTTGCTCTTGTATGTGCTGTTGCTCTCTCTTTTGCAGTGCGCTGCTCTTCCCCTGTCTGCTCTCCGCCCAATTCCTTGACTTGGGTGATTGCAATGCACACTCCCAGTTTTTCAAAGTGTACTGAACTGCTCACAGCCCGATGTTTTCTGCAGAATCCGCTCCTTGTGCCGCTTCATGGATAACTGCCACTCACATTGGTCGTCATCAAGAGACAGAATGTCGTCTTTGTTGCCCAACATGTCCTCTACGGGGTCATTGTGCAACCACCTACGTGCCAAACCACCTTCCTCTATCACCCCCTCCAAGTCCGTGCTATCCTCAACGATGTCCTCCCCGCCATCCCTTGTGGTGTCCTTCACTCTCTTCACCCAATCTTCATACCACTACTTTGCTTTTGCGTTCCTGTCATCATCTGGCACATCCTCCAACCATGGGCTGTGCAGATTGCCCTGAAGCTATCACGCTGCTGCCTTTACTACAGGGGAGAACTCCAATTGTTGTAAACTAGGTCTCCCAGGTGGCAACCGATTACCAGTTCATGCAAGCTCTAATTCTGCGTTAATGCAGCAGATGAGCTCGCATGGACAAGGGGCCTGATTGCTCGTGGTTGCAGACGGTTTGCCTCCCACTAAACGGGGTCTTCACACCTGCTGCATCCAGTGCCTCCCTCCACCCCAGAGCTCCCTTCATGTGCACCCAGTCATCAACCTGCCAACTAATATCCATCAGTTGCGTAGGGGAAGCTCGTGTGTACAGCCAGATGGTGACACTGGTGCCGTGTCACAAATGGCAGATTGCCATTTTGCCCCAATCCCCTCTAGCACTCCCCCCTCCATGGATGCAGCTACAAGACTGATAACGATCTTGGGATTGCTGCACAGTGGTGCTTCCAACCCTGCATCAACTTGCACCTGCCATCCCCTGTCGTGAAGGGTTTCAGAGTATTCTCCACACCACAGATTTGGTCCCTGGAACTGAGGCAGCATGCCCGAGAATCCGAGATCACCGCAGCGACCGTGCCACCTTGGTTGGGTCCTTCCCTGACGGGCTGTTGCCCTTGACATGCTGTTCTTAATCATATCCTTAGATGATTCCAGGTGGCCTTGGTGACCTGTAGACAGCAACAACAAGGGCTGTCATATCAGCCCTCTGCCCCCTTCACCTAATAAAAACTTGCCCACGCATCCTCCTTACCCCAACCACCCTGGCCCTATTGAACACTTGTGGAGTTGTATAATCCCATCAAACTCCAGCAATCCCTCCTCCCCCCAGCCCCCCACACCCTCCTCGCAGCAAGAAAGGGAAAGGGGGGAAGTCAAAGGGGAGTATGCTTGCCTGCTGCAAAAGGACGGGGGAAGCTGCACATCAAGCGGGAGGTCACACATTACATGGTCGAGGGGGCAAGTGGACAGGAAGGTTGGTGGCAGAATGAGGAGAGTAGGGGGAACATGGATGGTGAGGTCTAGGGAAGGTTCCGAATGAGGGAAGGAGAAACAAAGTGGATGGAGAGGTCGGGGTGTGGTCGCACATTGAGGGGGAGGTGGAGGAAAGTGGATGGGAAGGTTGGGGGGAGGTTGCCAAGGAGACGGAAAGTGGATGCTGTTCGGTTGTGATCACAAATTGAGGGAGGGGTGGGGAAAAGTGGATAGGGAGGCTTGGGGGAGGTTGGTTGGAAGTGGATGGGGAGGTTGGAGGAGGTCCTAGATTGAGAGGGAGAGTAGGGGAAAGGTGGATGGGGAGGTTGGGGGGAAGGTTGCACATAGAGGGAAAGGAGGGGGAAAGCCGATGTGGGAGGATGGGGAAAGTGGATGGGAGGTTGGGGGGAAGTCACACATCACGAAGGGGAGGGGAAAAGTCGATGGGAGGTCAGGGGAAAGTTACACATCTAGAGGGAGAATGGGAAAAGTGAATGGGAGGTCTGTGGAGGTTGCAGAACAAGGGAAAGCAGATGGGAAGGTTAGGGGGAGGTTGGGGAAAAGTGGAAGGTTGGGGAAAGTGGATGCACAGTTGGGGTGTGGTTGTACATCACGGTAGAAGTGGGGGGAAGCGGATGGAGGTCTGGGAGAGGTCGCACATCAAGGGTGGGGGGAAGTGAATGGGGAGGTTAGGAGGAATTCCTGCATTGAGGGGGAGGAACGTGAGAGTGGATGGGGAGGTTGCACATCGAGGGGGAGGAGGGCGAAAGCCGACTGCGAGGTCATGGGGAAGCACACATCATGGGGGAGAGTGAATGGGGAGTCAGGGGGAGGTCACAGAACGAAGATCAGGAGGGCAAAAGTGGATGGTCACACGTCAAGCGGGAGAAGGGGAAAAACTGATGAGGAGTCCCAGGGGAAATTGCACAGTGAGGGGGAGGAAGGGGTGGATGGGGAGGTCGGGGTGCGGTTGCACGTCGCAGGGGAGATGGGGAAAGTGGATGGGGAGGTTGGAGGGAGGTTGCACATCGAGGGGGAGGGGGAATTTGAACGGGGACATCTGGGTTAGGTCGCGGAAGGAGAGGGAGGAGGGGCAAAGTCGATGGGGAGGTTTGGCGGAGGTTGCGGTGCGGTTTCACGTCGTGGGGGAGGTGGGGAAAGTGGATGGGGAGGTTGGAGGATGTTGCACGTCGAGGGGGAGGGGGAATGTGCACGGGGACGATGGGGAGGTCGGGGTGCAGTTGCACGTCGCGGGGAGGTGGGGAAGGGAATGGGGAGGTTGGAGGGAGGTGCACATTGAGGAGGTGGGGGAATGTGAACGGGGACGTCTGGGTTAGGCCGCAGAAGGAGAGGGAGGAGGCGCAAAGTGGATGGGGAGGTTGGGGAGAGGTTGCACATTGAGGGCGAGGAGGGGGGAAGTGGATGGGGAGGTCGTGGGGAGGTCAGGCATTGAGGGTGTAGATGGGAAAGTTGGAGGGGCAGCCGGGTAGAAGTCGCTTACGGAGGGGGAGGAAGGGGGAAGAGGATGGGCAGGTCTGAGGGAAGTCTCAGGATGAGGATGAGGCAGGGAAGTGGATGTGGAGGTTGGGAAGGTCACACATTGAGGGGAAGAAGGGAGAAATATACGATGGGCAAGTGGGTGAAATTGCATCTGGAGGGGGAGGGGAAGGGAAGTGGATGGTCATGTTGGGTGTGGACGCACAGCGACTGTTACGGACTCCGCCAGGGGTCGATCCCTGGTCTATCCTTTTGCTGTTTCGGCTGCATCCTGTTTTCGGCCTGGCACCCTTTTTCCAAACCCCTCCTTTGGTACCGTAGGATTTCGGACAACTGGCGCCATGCTGCAATTCGGGCGCCACTTTCAAATACCACATTTTTCAGTTCTGCCCTCAGGGCCTTTGCAGAAATGCCCCTGGTACCGTACGTGTCATCGGTACTTATACTGGCTCCCCGTACAGTACGGGGACCAGTCTCGTACCAGTTTTCTGCTGCTGTACTTGTGCTTCGGTGACTTGCTTCGACATGGTGTTCGGAAGTCCAAGACTTCAACTTTGCGACTTTGCCACTTCGTGTCTGCGTCTGTCGAGTCGTGTCGAGTCTGCGTCGAGTTGAGTGAGTGTGTGTGTGCTCTCACTCTCTTCCTCTCTCACCCAGCCTCGTTGCCTCAGCCCCGTCACAGCGACGACGAGTGGGGAAAGTGAGTGTAGAGGCTGGGGGAAGTCTATATCAAGGGGGAGAAGGGGAAAATTCGATGGGAGGTCTGATGGAGGTTGCAGAATGAGGAGGTGGAAAGTCAACAGGGAGGTGGGAGGTGGATGGGGAGGGCTGGGGGAATCACAGAATGAGGGGGACTCTCTCTCTTTCTCACTTGGTCGTGTAGACATGTAGACAATGTTGCCGCCAAAAGCTGTCCTTCGGATGCTGCTTATCGGTTTTATATCACCTCCGTTTAGAAATAGAAACAACGAAGGAGAAGAGGCATAGAAGAGGAGGACAGAAACGGGAGGAGAAGAGGAGGACAGAAGTGGGAGGAGAAGAGGACGAGAGGGAGCAGGAAAAGACGGTGATGAGGAGATGTAGAGGAGGAGGAGAGGAGGAGGAGAGGGTGAAGAGGAGAGGAGGAGGAGAGGATGAAGAGGAGGAGCAGGATGAGTAAGAATTGCAGGCAGGCTTGGAGGGAGGAAGGTCTGGTGGAGGAACTTACCTGGCTATGGAGGCGCTTTGGCGATGGAGAGCTGCAGAGGACAATGGATAGTTGACATTGGCGGAGAGGAGGACGGAAGTGGGAGGAGAAGAGGAGGAGAGGGAGCAGGAAAAGACGGTGATGAGGAGATGTAGAGGAGGAGGAGAGGAGGAGGAGAGGAGGAGGAGGAGGAGCAGTAGGATGAGTCGGAATTGCAGGCAGGCTTGGAGGGGAGGAAGGTCTGGTGGAGGAAGCTACCTGGCTATGGAGGCGCTTTGACGATGGAGAGCTGCAGAGGACAATGGATAGTTGACATTGGCGGCTCTCCAATTTTGAACAGCTGGCGGCACACCAGGCAGCAGCTCCCTTGGCCAAGACCAGTACAGACATGAAATACAAACTACTACAACGGCAGTTTAAGAATTGAAAGTGCTACCGGCCTGTGAGTGAGGGCGACCCGGTAAAATTCTTGTTTGGGCCCACAATCTTTTTTTTGGGGGGGGAGAAGGAAAGGGTGTTCTACCACAATTGACAGCCTCCCCCCTGCCCTCCCCCCAGTTAAAAAAAAAACAATTCCAACCTGGGCCAGATTCCTGTTGCACGTGCATGCTGTGCACCACACATGTGTGGTGTGGCACATGCACCAGATGTGTGTGCTGTGCGTGAATGCAAGTATGCATATTTGCAATCTTGCAGGAGCATGAGACTTACCGGGTCTGCCAAGGCTATGAGAAACTACAGATATGCTATCTCTTTATGGTGTAGTGCCTACCAGGCTCGGCTTCCTTTTGGCGGCAGGCTGTGTCTTCTGCCGTCGGTTGCTGTCCTGCACACACATTTGTCTCAGTCCCTACGTTTTCCAATCCTGCCATTCACCCTTTAGCTTCCTGATGGCCGAGGATAGATGAAAGCATGAGGGAGCGAAGTGTTCCTTCAGAACAGCCAAAAGCAGACCCTTGTGGCGCCAGGTGGCTGTGTACAGTCAGGCCTTTGCATGTGAATGATTATTTGCATTTACCTGAATGCATCCTGTGTTTCACACTGCGGGAGTACTTCGCCTAAGTACTTACTCTGAGTACCTAAGCGCACTGCCTATGGCATACTCCCAGAGCACAATGCTGGAGCACAATGCTTGAGTACACTGTGTGAATGCACATTTTGCCTGCATGCCCTGCCTGAAGACGGGGCATAAGTGTCCTGCTGAGTACACTGCACGAGTACACTGCACGAGTACACTGTGTGAACGCACATTTTGCCTGCATGCCCTGCCTGAACACGGGGCATAAGTTTCCGGCTGAGTACACTGCACAAGTACATACTCTGTGTGATTGCAGCGTCTGAATACTTATCCTCCCTGAAAACACAGCTTGTTTCCGTTGTCTGCCTTAGTAGCCTGTGCTCGTTCCTCTTGGTGGATTTTGAGTTTGAAAGGACTACCTACACACTCCTTGAGATCGTGTAGCCTGCATATGGGACTGCCATATCATGGTCTTAGGAGCATAGCTGCTGCCATTGCTCTGTGTGCATGTGGGCCATCCAGCCAACATATCAGGGAGGCAGACATCCCTTTGCCCATGAGACACCTGCATACTAGACTGCTGGAGCAGGGTCTGAGGAGCATAGTTACTGCCATCCCTGCATGCAGCCAGGCCATACGGGCAGCATGTCAGGCAGGCAGACATCTGTTTGCCCACGGCAGCTCAGCAAAGGATGGCACTGTCATTTGTAACTATTTCAGAGGATGTTTGAACGCTTCCTGGATATCCAATAGATATGTCTATCTCCTGCATTGCTGTGTTGCAGAGTGCAGGAGGTAAAGTATGTCTGGATCTTTGTGTTCTGCAGCTTGCCAGGTAGAGTCTTTTGGAGGGCTGAGTGGCGTCTTGGGCTGGGCATCCCATCAAGCAATTCCACCCACACTCACCAGTACTTTCCCCGGGGGTTCTCTTGACCTTCGAGACAGACCGGTTTGGGTGGTGGCCACCTGGAACTGGATGATGTTCACAGAATTGAGATGGGCATTACAGAGAATGGGAGGGGCAGCGGCTCATCGCCCACAGTGATTGACTCCCGTAATGATATGTGTGAAATCATAGTATGGTCTCATCATCTCGAGACCATATTGAGAATCGGTAGCCAGTGGCTGTGACGTGTGCAACTTCATCACAGTCACACGATATATATGGGGTGCTACTCTTCTTGTCTCGTTGCCTCCTCGTTGGCGCACCCTGGTAACGTGGTCTTTACCATGGCAGAAGTCGAGACAAGAGCCACTCTCTCATTCAAGTTGAGGAAGAGGTGGCAAACAGGTAAAAGAACTGGCTACCGATTACGATATAGCAACCTTATGCTTACAGACAAGACAAGACAAATTGGATGTCTTTTCGTGCCTTTCTTTTGTTGATTGTCATCATTCCAAAACAGGCTGGAAAGAGGGGTGACTGTCTTTTTATTCCTGACGTTCCCTTCCTCCCCCATTCTCTCCCTCCCCTTCCCTCTCCTCCCCTCCCCTCCCCTCCCCTCCCC